CCCGGGAGTGAGAAAATGGACGTTTGTGTGACCAACAAGGTGATAAAAAAAAACACTTTAGAGGAACAACAAGTTTTTGCTTAAAATCCACATTTGCCAGTTTAGCTTCTATTTAATGTGGCGGGGACTGTTCCAACATGAATCCACTCTACAAAAAGAGACATCCAATAACAAATTTAAAAAGAAATTGCTCTATTGTTACTTAATTAATCTCTATTTTCACTAACAAAAACTTAAGGCTCCGTACTATAAATGTAACAATAATGCATAGTTACAAGGACCCGCTATCTGACCAACAACCTGGCTTAGTGTGTTATAGGCTACTTCTTTTCTCTCCTATGCTAACTCTAAGTCACTATTTAAGAAATTAGCCATATTTAACAAGAACAATGAACATGTTTAAAGTTGTGGGGGTTTTAAGTCACAGCAGGGAAACCTACCATTTCATAATCAGGATGTCAATAAGAATCTTGTTTATTACCCATTTGAATTGACCACAAATTTTCTATTTACTGCTCAGAGAAATATACCAAAAACAAGAATTTTTATATCCCGTATTGAAAATCAGGCTTGGTTAAGACATTTCATATCCACCTCTCAAACTACATTTAGATATTAAATGTTTTGCTGTAAGTAGTCTTTCACTTTAATAGGTATTCTTTGTTATCTGTTAAGTCTGATAACACCTCATGAACATACACCCTCAACTAAAGTTTTCAAACCACAACCTTAAGGCTTGACCACTGCTTCATTCACAAAAGGATGCAAATGAAATGCTTTTACTCAGACCACCCAAGTAAGCTATCAGTCATTGCCCCCACTCATCCATTCAGTTACCCAATTACACACAAATGCACCACAAAACAATTGGGGTGGTGGTACTATGGGTGGAGGGGTCTATTCTGATTTAGTGCAGCTCTATCAGCTGATTTCCTGTGAAACACAGTAAACGTTCCATCACTCTACTACTTCTATCCTTGGTTTGATATCCTCGCTTTTAACCGTTTATTTTTCTTTATATGAGACACATAGCGATAAATCAAGTATTTTACATTATGTACCTTCTATTTTATTGAAAAGTAAAAACTGTATAATTATTTAGCTTTCATCCAAATGTATCTATATGCTGTTTTATATATGTGTACAGTTGATCAGATAGGACTTATTTAAAATTCTACTTTTAAACGGGCAATACCAATACACAGAACATTCTGGACAAATTATTAAAAATGTGTTGTGTGGGCAGTTAGTAGCAAATATTAGAAATTACGTAACATTTGAAGGAAATATTAGCCTAGGGTATAGTATTTTACAAAAGCATTCAAGACATGTTACTAGTTCTCTGCCATTTATTGGTAGTATATATGATAGACTAACGATACATATCTATAGCTCCTCCAGGGTTGCCAGGAGGGTTGACATCTATGATGAAGGCTTTACTTGCTTGGTCAGTCCGTTTAGGTGGACGGCCATTTGTGTGTATGGTACACTGACATTAAAGAAACGTTTTGTACGTTTTTACAAAAAATATCTTCATGATAGCCTTTTTATTTGGCCCTTTACCACTATAACATTGTTTGATGAGCAGACTGACAGCTCTGTAATTTAGCACTGTTGTATCTACTAGCCTATTTTCCTGAATTTCCCGCCGTGGAGTTTACACAGGTGTAAACTCCGCGTAGGGTGAGCAGGAGCTACGAGAAGAAGAGTGCTGCAGTTCCGTATTTTGGCCACAGGTGGCAGTATCATTAGAAAACTCTGTCATGCTTCTTTAAATTAGAGAGAGACAGCGGCTGTGTCGGAACGTCCGCCCTTGTCACTATTTAAGGCACTATATACAGGTGCTGGTCATAAAATTAGAATATCATGAAAAAGTAGATTGATTTCAGTAATTCCATTTAAAAAGTGAAACTTGTATATTATATTCATACATTACATACAAACTCATATATTTCAGATGTTTATTTTGTTTAATTTTGATGATTACAAATGACAACAAATGAAAATCTCAAATTCATCATATCAGAAAATTAGAATATTACTGAAGACCAATAAAAACAAAGGATTTATAGAAATGATGGCCAACTGAAAAGTATGAACATGAAAAGTATGAGCATGTACAGCACTCAGTATTTAGTTGGGCCTCCTTTGGCCTGTATTACTGCAGCAATGCGGCGTGGCATGGAGTTGATCAGTCTGTGGCACTGCTCAGGTGTTATGATAGCCCAGGTTGCTCTAATAGTGGCTTTTAGCTCTTCTGAATTGTTGGGTCTGGTGTATTGCATCTTCTTCTTCACAATACCCCATAGATTTTCTATGGGGTTAAGGTCAGGAGAGTTTGCTGGCCAATTAAGAACAGGGATACCATGGTCCTTCAACCAGGTACTGGTAGCTTTGGCACTGTGTGCAGGTGCCAAGTCCTGTTGGAAAATGAAATCTGCATCTCCAAAAAGTTGGTCAGCTGCAGGAAGCATGAAGTGCTCTAAAACTTCCTGGTATGTGGCTGCGTTGACCCTGGACCTCAGAAAACACAATGGACCAACACCAGCAGATGACATGGCACCCCAAACCATCACTGACTGTGGAAACTTTACACTGGACTTCAAGCAACGTGGATGAAGTGCCTCTCTTCTTTTCCTCCAGACTCTGGGACCTTGATTTCCAAAGGAAATGCAAAATTTACTTTCATCAGAGAACATGACTTTGGACCACTCACCAGCAGTCCAGTCCTGTTTCTCTTTAGCCCAGGCAAGACGCTTCTGAGGCTGTCTGTGGTTCAAGAGTGGCTTGACACAAGGAATGCGACAGCAGAAACCCATGTCTTTCATACGTCTGTGTGTGGTGGTTCTTGAAGCACTCACTCCAGCTGCAGTCCACTCTTTGTGAATCTCCCCCACATTTTTGAATGGGTTTTGTTTCACAATCCTCTCCAGGGTGCGGTTATCTCTCTTGCTTGTACACTTTTTTCGACCACATCTTTTCCTTCCCTTCGCCTCTCTATTAATGTGCTTGGACACTGAGCTCTGTGAACAGCCAGCCTCTTTAGCGATGACCTTTTGTGTCTTGCCCTCCTTGTGCAAGGTGTCGATGGTCGTCTTTTGGACAACTGTCAAGTCAGCAGTCTTCCCCATGATTGTGTAGCCTATAGAACTAGACTGAAAGACCATTTAAAGGCTTTTGCAGGTGGTTTGAGTTAATTAGCTGATTAGAGTGTGGCACCAGGGGCCATCAATTTTGAACCTTTTCACAATATTCTAATTTTCTGATATGATGAATTTGAGATTTTCATTTGTTGTCATTTGTAATCATCAAAATTAAACAAAATAAACATCTGAAATATATGAGTTTGTATGTAATGTATGAATATAATATACAAGTTTCACTTTTTAAATGGAATTACTGAAATCAATCTACTTTTTCATGATATTCTAATTTTATGACCAGCACCTGTAGTGGTTACACCATTTAGATGAGTGTCTGAAAGTCTAGTGCAGGGTCTTAAACGTTTTCCTGGCCAAGGACCCCCAAAGTGATGGCGAGATGGAGCGGGGACCCCCTAATTGTATGGTTGATGGGACAGGTGTTGTGAATGAAACGGTACCCAGCTCGAAAGAGCTCCTGTGTGTCGCTGAATGTGTGGATTGATCAATGAAAGACATCTTTTGCCCTTAATTTATTTGTTTAATACAGTTTGTTGAATTCATGTTAATGAATATTTAAAGACATTTCAGTTAGTGGAAAAAATTGCAGAGGGGAATATTAAAAAAAGACTAATCAACCAAAACTTTTGTGACCTTCGTGGACCCCCTGTTGAAGACCTCCGGTCTAGTGGGTGAAAAAGTAGTGGACTTGAAATTTCCCACAATGCACCTTCAAAAGTAGTGATCATCCATGGCCACTAGACAAGCAGATAGCAAAGCATTATGGGATTTTTTTGTAGCAGCGATAAATAACAAAAATGGTAAAGGCACCATGCAGCGAAGCAGAGGTACGTGACCAATGGGGAGTCAAAAGTAGTGGTAATCTATCCAAACATCAGTTAACTGAGTTCACTATAAAGTCCACTAAATAGTCCCTGCTCTATATACTAATTGAGAGATTTATGGGTTAGGGCAAATGTTCAGACACAGCCTGTGTTTTATTAATAGATGGCCTTTGTGCAATGGCAAACACCCCTAGATGTTGTTTAACGGTACTGGATGCAGAAAAACAACAACCTTTGTTGTTGTTTCTCCTCAGTTTAGGATATTACCATGAATCATTAACCTTCCAATTCTATATTGTGCATTACTTTGATTCGGCCTATTAATAAAAAAAAAACAGTAAAATATATTTACATTTTTAGTTCTCATACAACAAGATTTAAAAAGATCAATAAAACGACTTTTGGTTCAACAGAATAATGGGGCTTTCTTTCTATTTTCTCTAGGATTTCTTGTAAAGTTTTCATTATTTTTATTTCAGATCTCACAGTTGTTGATTCATAACACACACCCCCTCTCTGCTGTGCAGAAACCATTGAAGATGATGGACTCCCATTTGATGGAAGCTGCAGAGCTAAAAAGGTGTGGCAACAAGCCTGTTGCACTGATGGTCCTAAATATTTATCAGCTGGGCGGAGTTTGCATGACAGATGACTCAAATGTGATCAGCATATCACCATGCAAATAAATGCCAACTTCTGTCCAATACCTTTCAACGCCAGGATACAAAAAAAAAGTTTGCAAATATTTGTAATTGTCTTTCAGCTTGTAAAGAAATTATAGGCTATAGACTTCTAAATGGATACATGCATTGTTTCTAACGCTGATGCGCACAGAATTACAAGATATTAGAATGACTCTGAAGAATAGAACTGTATTAACCCTGTCTCTTTATGATTAATGGTTTAAATAGGCCTACAGATCATGATAAACTTCCAGCATGTCCAAAATCCGCTTCCATAAAACATGCGGAGAGTCGCTTCACCTGCAGAGAGCGGACAAGAAAATGGGACTTACTCCGAGCGTAGGTGCCAGCACACAACCGAGAACCAGCAAATATATCCTGTAACAGACAAAATCATTCAGTTTTATTGAATTGATGTAGTTTTTTTTAAGTCCCTTGACAAATAACCGGCACAGGAGCAGCGATCACACCGCACTCAGCGATGCAAAACTCCTTACAGAGACATTTGCAAAAAATAAATTCTGCAAAAAATAAATAAATAAATAAAAGTTTGCTTACAGGGATCTCATCTTGATATCCGTTTTGGTAGCAGCAGACTAGTTGCTCCTCTCTTCACCAGCAGGAACCAGCACCTCAAACGCGCTCATCGGCTTCTCCAAAACGCGTCCCTCTGTCATCTGATATCCACACAAAAAGTAACCCCTCCGCTTACAACAAATCAGAAAAACTAATACATAATCACCCCCCAAAAAAGAAAAAAACGAAAACTAAATCATAGAAATCAGACAAGTAGAAGTTTATCCCACTTACCGAAGTCGAAGCGGTGCAGGCTGCTGCGCTCTAGGAGCTGCTCAGCCCTCAGTGGAGCAGCGAATAGCAGGAGGAGGAGCCACACACACACACACACACCCTCTCACACATGCACGTGTTAGTGCCTCCACAACCGATGAAAAAGCACACAGTCAGAAATCAAATCTCAAACTCTCTCATCCATCAGAGGTGGTTCTCTCCGCTGCCAAGGCCAATATATCCAATATCCAGCGCGCAATCAGAGGAATCACTTTACGCTTTTTCTATGATTAAAACGTTCATATATCACAAATTCTCCCAAAGCGCTGCTTTAAACAGTTATTCAAATAAGCAGCATTAATATGACATTTAATTTAAAAGTCATTTCCCTAATAAAAACTCAATAATAAAAACTCCAGGATTAGGAGGTAACTTTGTTTGCACTCTCCACACATTCAGTTACTCAAGTTGCAAACAGTCCTCTTTTAGCTCTCCGGTGTTCTATTCTGGTTCATCTGCCTTCAACACTCCTTTTAACAGTCTGTTAATGTATCTATATTAATGAGGAAAACTTCCTCATGGATGATTCAAACACTGCAGGAAAAGAAAAAAAAAAACATGGCTCATAATTTGTGTTATTTTTCTCGCTTTTTCCCAACAAATAATGCAGCAATAGACTGCTTATATGTTAGTTTTATTTGTTAAATTCGATATGCATTAGATAGGCATATAAAAAAAACACAAGTGAAGTTCCTCATGGCTCTATTCTTGGGCCACTTTTATATATTTTGAAATACAATTCAGCGTTTGACTGTAAAAGAGTAATCAAAAGAAAACATTTGTGTTTTGATTTCTTTTATTATCTATTATGTTGTATTCAATCCATCATTTTAATTAATAATAATTGTTCTTGGTAGAATGTGATCAAAATAATGTTTTGCAGTAATCCTAAATTTCAATTGGTGTGTTTTTTGTTTTTTTGGCAGCCAGATAAACATCTAATAATTTGATGATTCATCCAATAATTTTTCTGATCCTCCAGAACGCTGGCATGTAGAACTAAGTTGCTTTTACGTTCGCCTCACCTGCCAGGCTCATCATCATCCTAATTCACCTGCAATGATTCAAAAGTATAAAAGGTGACCTTTAAAATCCCCCAGGAATGGAACATGTCCAGGCTTACAGAAAAATGAAAGGGTAGAATGTCTAAACATTTTCTTCATGCCTTTTTGGGACAAAAGAAAAGAAGAAAAAAGTAGCCTATACATCCACGCATATCCCAGCAGACACACTATGTTGTAATAACATTGGTTCTTGGTTTGATATGAGCTGCAATATTGGAGAACCAAAACCCAACTTTGATACAACTTCAAAAGCTAATGTCAGTTAAATGTAAAGTTTTTAACATCAATCTAACGTTAACTAACAGATTTATCCAAAGTCTGGCCAACGTTGACTGCTGATAGTCGATTTAGAAAGGATTTAACCTCAACCCAGCTTTCATTTTCGCATCATAATCCAATTGGTTATCCAACCTTGGGGTACAACATGTTTTAATGATATACAACAATGGTCAACATATTCTCATTATCAGTGCGTATGAAATCGTACGAAAAGTTATGCACACTATTTCGTACGTTTTGGATGTTTTTCCTCAAAAAACCACATCAGTGTGCATGCGCTGGCAGACAGAAAAAAAAAGCAGATCCGCGGACGGACGTAAAACTGGGAAAAACAGTGCAATCATCACTTATTCATGTCTCTAACTACATTGCTTGCTGTTTTATATCTTAGGGTTAGGGTCAGGGTTAGGGCTAATTGTAATTTTATATTCTATATTCGTGAATGGTGCGTCAGATGCGCATACGACGAAAAAAAACGTCCAAAACGTACGAAATTATGGTGCATAACTTTTCGTACGATTTCATACGCACTCATAATGAGAATAGGTTGCAATGGTTTCGTCCTGTTAAAAGGGAGTTTTTCCTCACCACTGTCGCTACAAGCATGCTTAGTGTGAGGGATTGCATTGATGCAATCAACTAGTTTTCCTTAGATAGAAAACTTGGAATCAATTTGACTGATGATCTGGTGAACTGCAAATGCCTTGAGATGACATGTGTTCTGAACTGGATCTATAGAAATAAACTGAATTGAATTAAATCGAATAAACATCAAGTGCCTGTTGGACAGAGACTGACTTATTTTTCCGACTCATATAAAGAAAGTTGTGGACATATTGAACTGAATCCCCCAGATTCTGATACCTAAGTTAGTAAGTTTAAGTCGTTCTTTGCGTTGGTGCGCTGAGAGTAGCCTACAATCCTTGCGCTCAGGGAGTCTCTACATCCGGGGTGGGATACGAGGGGAGGGAAATAGAGGGGGGTGGACGAGAGAATCGCAACGCAGAGAGTCAGAATCACTACAGGCTTCTACTCTGAGAGCTCGATAGCAGCCGCAGGACTGCCTCTCCACCCGATCATCTGGTCCTGGGAGCAAGACGAGCGGGAGTTTGGCGCACAGAGACATGACAGATATAGAAGCGAGTTCGTGAGTCGGAAACGCAGGTGGATCGCTGTTTTATTCCCTCTGAAGATGACTAAAGACTTGTGGCGCCTGCGACAGCTCGACTGGGCTGTGATTTTGCTGGTCCTGAGCGCCACTCTGCAACAATCTAACTCTGCTGTAAGTGCGCCTTCTTGCACATATTTATTCTTCTTATTATTATTACTATGATTCCATTTGGGGCCAAATGGAAGGTGATTGCTGCACGCATGATGAGACCTACCGCACTAGCCGGCGCCGAGAAGCAACTCTTAAGATAAAAGTTTATAAATAAAGATACTGCTTAATAACAAGTACAAAAATACAAACGATGCTTATATATCAGTAATAACGATGCAATTACACTGTTTGCACACCTTTCTGTGCTTTCATTGCTTTTAATAATCCCGTGAGCACCTTCTTGCTTTGTAGCTTTCATGGCAGCCCCGGACGGGGATATGAGTCCGGCTGCATGCGCTCTGCGAACAGGAGGGAAGAGAACCTGCAGCAACATGCCACATAAAGAAGCTTTCTAACACTCTTCCCTACCTTTGCGCCTTGCATTTCATTTGGCGCTGCTTTAAAATGCTGGTTGAAACATAAAGCAATGCATGTGAAAATGCTAGATATGCCTGCTCTGTCAGTGATGGCATTGTCCGCAAAAGCATGTTGTGCGTAAGAGTTACCCTACAGCACGCTAATAAAGCTATAGGGACTATAAAAAGGTGCATGATTAAACGGCGAATGTTTAGGTTTTGTTCAGGAAGCTCCAGAAAGGTTTAAAGGATGGAAGCTGATGGGAGGGGACACTGAAAAGTGGGCTTCTAATTAAATTAAGAAGTGACCTATGTAATAATGAAAGAATTCCCTCTAATGCCATAAGGCAAGCCCTAATTATGTCTTGATAAGATGCTCAGTATCCAATATTCATTAGCCCTCTTGAGGGTTTGCAACAAGATAAACCTAATTTGTGAACATATCTGAGCACAAAAAAACTGTTTATAATAATGTCATTGGCTGATAGGATTTATTAACAACCAATTTAAGGTCTGATTTCAGAGACAAACCTACTTTTTTTGTTATGTTGTTATATGAAGTAGCAAAAACATGCATAAACATACATAATTAGGTTGTCAATGTAGTTAAAAATCAATGCATTTAACTACTTAAAACAAAGTCTCTTCTTACATGATTCATATTAATGTTAAAAAGAAAAGCAATTTGCAAGGTGAGCCTCTCCCTCCCCCTGGTACCCCCTTAGAGGTGCTTTTGTTATAAACATAAAAAATGTTTGTGTTTACACTAAGTTTACCTCCATTTCACTATACGTTTCCACTCAGATAGCACTCAACTCGCTGCTATCTCTTGAAACCCAGCAAACAAACTGACTGCACATGCCTCATATAGTCTAATATCTACATGCTGAATATTCATATGGAATTAATTATGCAGAACCTCTGCTGAAGGATGACCCCGCCCCTCAAAACAGCCCCGTCCAAACAGGCTCTCTCTCATTTATGCTTTAAACCCAGTCAGGAGACTTTTCCTTGCATGTTTTTCTTGCAAACATTGAGCCACCATTGCATCTAATGGAATATAGATGGAAGAGTTTTGCAGCCTCATCAATCTCTACATTCTGTTGTTTGATGTAATCTCCTTAAAACAGAGTGGAAATGATTTGATTTCATAGTTATGTATTTCTTTCTGTGGTCTATTTACAAGCACATAGCAGTGTGTGTGAAATATAATTTGGGCTGAGATAGAAAGGTTGGAAATCATTAAATTTACTTAATTTTTCTATTTCTTCTATTTTTCTCAGCCCTTTCTCTTTGAATTCAGGTCCTAATATGGTACACCTGGACCAGAGGAGGGCAGTTTGGCTTACAGATTTCAGTGCATTCAACAGACAGACCTTAAATTAAAAGTTAGAAGAACATCCTCTTGATTAGTGAAGTACAGGATAAAATCTGCTTTTAAGTTCGTAGGCCTAATTTTCTATTAAAGTAGGTTGTATTTATTGTAAAATACTTCCTTTCATTGCTTTGTGTTGGTGGAACAACACTTCTTGGCAACGACATGCATCAAAAAGCATCTATGATCAAATATTTTGTTGCCAATTGACTCTTGAAATTCCCCCCACCCTGCTTACATCTGCAGAAAGGCCTAAAAACAGTTGCTTGAGGGCAAAAAAAAAAAGCCTAATGTTTGCGTGTTTAGTCCAATTAGAAGATGCATCATGGTGGTAGTAGATTTTGTTATAAAAATGGGTTGAATGTAACGGTTAAATTGGGGATTCACAAGATTCTGGATTGTGACGAAGTCCAGGGAAGCAAGAAAGCGGTCTGAGCTGAAAGGGAAGGTGCATCGCTAAACATGGGAACAGATGCTTTCTCAGCATCTTTATCAGGGAGTGTATTTTCCATAAAGTAAAAATATAAACAGCCCTTAAAATTAGTATAAGAAGAGAAAAAAAAATCACCTATATTAACAACAGTTGAAATATTTAAGGACCTTTAATATGGTGTCTTTCCCTGTGGTCTCACTGTCTCCCTCTTGTGGTTGCTGAGTGCAAAAGAGCTGTTCCTTTATTAATGCTTGCAAAATAAAAAATCAAGTAATTTGTCTTTTACTTTTTTAGTATATCTTTAAAAAACACACTCAGAAAATGTCTTAGTTTTCAAAAGAAGAACTTATTTTTATTTGCTAACTTTTTTTGCACGTTTATTTTGCTCAAATAATAGAAATTGACGTTTCTCTCCTGATTTCAAAACAATCTCATGAAACAAATGCATTATAACACACACACAGGATTTCTTTTTTCATTTCCAAGCATTAAAAATTGTGACAAACGGAGAGGATCACACATCATTCGTGCTCTGAGAATCAAACCCTGTTTCGATACGGATCTCCACTCCCACAGGTGAACGAGTTCAGCTGTAATGTATACCTCAAGGTTTTTCCTTTGAACCCATCATGGCCTGCAAAACACAAACGACACCCTTAGTTTGAAGCTCATTCTCCTGTGCATGCCAACAAGAGAATGATAGCTTGACGGTGCTCGTGCTCATGCATACCCCGTCATGGGTTCCATCACCTTTATTCATGACCTGCAACCCAGGTGGAATTTAAGTAGAGAAAGGGGGAGGATGATGGTTTGTATGTGTGAGGGGAAGGGAGCTAAGTCATAACATCCACAGAGATATATCTGTGACATGTCGAGATAACACCATAGAGCACGCCTTCAAGCCTAACCGCTCCAAGCTGTTCTTTTTTATTTTGTCTCTGGTTTGCTTGTTTGTTTGTTTCTTCGATTTATGTTTTTATCTCCTACTAACATTTTTTTCTCTTTGATTTCTTGCTGTTTAGTCAGATTCTTAAAGTTTATAATATGGAAAGAGATTGTTACTCATTCTTGATGGATCTGGGATTATTTTTGTAACCAAATGACAACCTTAGCATTGCAGAAAGGTGCAGCAATCACCTTCCAAAGTTGGAAGACTGATGTGATAATGTTTGCTAGTTGTTTAGCCAATGCTGTGATCAGGTCTGGTAATATTGGGGTTTGCAACAGGTCAATCAGGATGGATTTACATAAAGAAAAAGACACTGACAATAGAAACCTGCAAGCCGACTTAAGTAATTTAACTGAATCTTAACAGCAAATACAGATGATCTTAACAGGTAATAAAAACTAATGTAACTGAGCAGTTACAGTTCTATAGTTTAGTATTTATGTGCAGATTTCACATCTTGCTTCATAAAGTGGATGTTAGCTATGTACCTAACTTTGTTTCCTATTTGTTATTTTAAACTGCATTGCGCTTTATTCGAAATGGACTTTACATAATTCGAGGCTCTTATTGGCTAAATGAGAGGAAGGCATGATGCACCAGATTTGGCCGTTGAGCCACCATTTGATGATCGCTGCTTTAGAAGGTTTAAACTCACAGTGTGCTGTGAATGAGCTGTAAATGCCATCAGTATTAGCAGAGGGACAAAGGAGAGCTAAAACTAACACCAAATGTTTAGTCAGCTAAATATCTCCACGCTTTCTAAACCCTTTTGCCTTTGTCTCTACATTTAGCCCACTTCTTATTTCTTTTATTTCTGATCTTAATTTCTATTTTCTTGTTTTCTGATAAGAAATAATGCCATTTAATGCTGCTCCTCTCCAAGTCTCTGTCAGCTCTTACTGACCTAGACGTTATCTCTCCTAATCACTTCTAGGAGGATGGTGATTCTAAAACTTGTTCTTCAAAACCTTTTTAGTTGAACATGGTCGCTTATTTTTAAATTCAGACTTTTCCCAATAAATCAATCTTTAATTTTTTTTTCTTTTTTTACCTGAACAAGCATAGTAGTTGTCACCAGAGGTGTCAAAAGTATTTATGCTTTTTACTCAATTAGAATGATAAATCCTATGTTTAAAAACACTTTTGTAGAATTTAGAGTATGGACTTAAGCTTTTTGCTCAAGTAAAAGTGTAAAAGTACGAGTTTTAAAACGGCTTAAAGTTTTAAAGTAAAAGTAATGCAGGAAAAAAATTTTAAGGATAGAAGCTTTAAACATTATACTGCTTGACCCAAATAAAGGAACATTTTTCTACAATTCTGGATGATAAATTCCTTATACCTAATTTTCTTAGCTTTATATTGTAACTGCAACAGTGTCAAATTGAACTTGCACCATCTTGAAAGACGATTTATTTTGGTACGTGGTGAACAACAAGTTGGTGCATTACCGAGTCCAACCACAAAGAAATGAACCAATTTTTAAATTATTTTTTTTAAATACCAACAGGCCATAATGAAAACGCTTTAATGTAATGAAACTAACAAGCCAATTTTTTAAATGTAGGTGGTAGAAAGTAGAGATAATTGCAGAATCATTTAAGCATTAAAAGTAAAAAGTTGTCTAAAAATATTTACTCCAATAAAGCATAGATAGCAAAAATTTCTACCTAACCAAGGTAAAAAAAAAAGTATTTGTACTTTTTTACTTGACTGCTCTGGTTGTCACTGATTGTTCTACCCCAGACATGTGGAAAGAGTAATTAACTTTAGCAGACCTGCAATTGCAGAACTTAAAGCATATTTAGCAACATACTCTGGATGTTGGTCTTCTTTACAGCTAATAATCTG